CATAGGAAAACTCAAAATCTTCTCAAATAAAAAGGAATCCCTTGTCATGCATGTCCTTTCCTTTCCTTTCAAGTTGCTGTCAGTAGCAAGAATAACACAATTGCTAAATTGTCTTGCAATTTTTTCCACTCACTGTGTGATTTTCCAGGACCGAGTTTCGAAGGAAACGATTGGTAAAGGTTTCTTCCTCAATGGACTGTACTATGTCAACTTCTCTTCAAGTTTTCCAAAAGGTTTCTACGTAAACTCAAACACAGTAAACAAGGAGCAGCTGTGGCACATGAGATTAGCTCATCCTTCTTCCCATGTTATGTCTTTTTATTTTTCCTAGTTTCTGTAAAGAGATTTCAGATTGTGAAGTTTGTCAAAAATCTAAGTCCACCAGGTTACCCTTTCCCCATTCTCTCTCTAGAGCTACCAAAGTTTTTGAAATTGTCCATTCCGACATTTGGGGACCTGCAACCTTAGAGTCTTTTGATGGCTACAGATTCTTTATATCTTTCATTGATGATTTCTCTAGAACTACCTTTGTGTATTTACTTAAATTCAAGCACGAAGCTTTCCAGTGTTTCAAAAATTTTCATAACTTAGTTCAAAATCATTTTAACTCTAATATTGGCATCTTAAGGTCTGATAATGGCTCTGAGTATACTTCCAAAATCATGACAACTTACTTAAGTGAGCATGGAATCTTGCAACAAACTAGTTGTGTAGGAACACCACAACAAAATGGTATTTCAGAAAGGAAGAACCGAGATTTGCTTGAGAAAACACGATCACTAATGTTACAAGCAAACCTTCCAAAGAAGTTCTGGTCTCAAGCTATACAAACCGCTGCATACATCATAAATCGACTTCCTAGCAGAATCTTGAAGTTTAAATCTCCTTGTCAAATTCTCAAGGGGAGAGATATTAACATAAGTCATCTCCGTGTGTTTGGATGTGTGTGCTATGTGCATATTCAAACTATTCACCGAGATAAACTTGATCCAAGGGCTATCAAGTGTGCATTCGTAGGCTACTCAACTTCCCAAAAGGGATACAAATGCTATGATTCTAAAACCAGAAAGGTGTTTGTATCCAGGGATGTACGGTTTGATGAGACACACTTCTTCTTTCAGAAGCATGATGATGAACCTCAGGGGGGAGCTCTCATATGAAGTGTTTCCCACTCCTCTCGTCCTTGATGATCCAAGACTGTCAACGCCGCACAATGAAACAATTGAGATAGAGCCAGCTCATGAAAATATGGAAGCAAATAATGAAGAAGTCCTCCACGAAAGGAGAGAGCCCCTTGAACAACCTACTCATCCACGACGGAATCCTTCTCGAAACAGACAACCTCCAGCCAGGCTTGATGATTTTGAAATCTACATGCCTAGATATCCTATTGGACAAATGGTTTTACATAGCAAGACCTCCCCATCTCATGCAGCATTTGTCACTAAGTTAGCTCAACACTCGGAGCCTCGATCCTTCGAAGAGGCAAACCAATCTCCTGTATGGAGATGTGCTATGCTTGAGGAACTGAAGGCACTCGAAGAAACTAAAACTTGGAGCATTGTTTCTCTGCCAAAAGATCAACGTGTGGTTGGGGCAAGATGGATTTACAAGACAAAATTTAACTCAGATGGAACCATCCAGCGGCACAAGGCAAGGTTAGTTGCAAGGGGCTTCACGCAAACCTACGGGGTAGATTACAAAGAAACCTTTGCCCCGGTGGCAAAGATGAACACAGTTAGAGTTCTTCTTTCGGTGGCTATCAATTCACAATGGTCTCTACATCAAATGGATGTAAAAAACGATTTTCTTCATGGAGAGTTGGAAGAAGAAGTGTACATGCGCCTACCACCTGGTCATGAACGAGAGAAGGAACAAGGAGTAGTATGCAAGCTTCACAAGGCCATTTACGGTCTCAAGCAATCTCCAAGGGCTTGGTACTCAAAACTAAGCTCTGTCCTTATGTCATCCGGTTTTAAAAGAAGCAATGCAGATTCTTCAATGTTCACTAGGCTTGGCACACATGGAAGATTGGTGGTACTTGTTTATGTTGATGATCTCATTGTCACAGGAGATAATCCAGAAGAAATCAATGCTCTCAAAGCCACCTTACATTCAACATTCTCAATCAAAGATCTCGGCAGACTTAGATACTTTCTCGGAATCGAAATGGATCAATCTCCAACGGGGTTGTTTCTAAATCAACAAAAGTACGTTCTCGATCTTTTAGAAGAAGCCAATATGATGCACTGCAAACATGCTAAAACACCTATACCAACAAATTTCAAGCATGAAACCTCAGGCATCCAGCTTGAAAATGCATCGGAGTATCAAAGGTTGCTAGGAAAACTTATCTATTTGACTATAACTCGACCTGACATTGCTTATGCTGTTAGCTTTGTCAGCCAGTTCATGCATTCTCCCACATCTCATCATCTGCAACTAGTTAAAAGGATCCTTCGATACTTAAAAAGCTCAATGTCTACCGGGATTTTCATGCAAAACAACGGACACTTCACCATTGAAGGATACACAGACTCTGATTGGGCAGGCAACGTCCTTGATCGCAAGTCCACAACTGGTTACTGCACTCTTGTAGGTGGTAACCTCGTCACGTGGAAGAGCAAAAAGCAATCTGTTGTAGCACGGTCCAGCGCAGAAGCTGAGTACCGTGCAATGGCATCTACTGCATGCGAACTAATTTGGCTAAAGAGTTTGCTACATGATCTTGACATCATCTCTTCCAAGCCAATTCTCCTCCACTGTGACAATCAAGCAGCGATGCATATTGCTGCCAACCCCGTCTTTCATGAACGAACAAAGCATATCGAGGTTGACTGTCATTTCGTCCGCAACCAAGTCCAGTCCAAGCTGTTACAAACTGCATTTGTTCGCTCCAGTGATCAACTAGCCGATGTGTTCACCAAGCCCCTTCCTTCTTCTCAACTTGATCGTATTCTCTTCAAGCTTGGATCCAGAAAATCTCTCGATCCAGCTTGAGGGGGGGTTTGAATATTATTGAATATTCTTTAAACCCTAATAGCTGTAAAGCTGTGTTTAAGCTAGGGTTTAGTGAGCTGTGTTATTCCCTCTTCTGTGTAAAGCTTGTTAATAAGCTGTAATGCATGTGTTAGAGAGTGTGGAGGTCATCATACTCTCATGCTTGCTTAGCTGACTTGCTTAGCTGCCATTGTCCCCTACTCTCCTCTCTTTTTCCCGATTATTCTTCTATTTATGCTTAATCTTGTAAACTGTTTGAGACAATGAAATATACATTAAGGTTTTCTATAGGTTTTATCTTCCAAATTGAAGGTACATATAGCTGTAAACTTGGCACCCCTCACCACAACAATTCCATGAAAGTATATGCAATTCGCTTTGAATCGAGAGCAGTTCGAAGCTTCAATGGAGAACGAAGAACTCTCGGATCCCAGTAACATGGTACTATTCCCCAAGTTTTTTACCTGCAAGTCAGGCAACTTACCCGAATAATCGCCATTAAACGGCACCTTGAAAACCCTAAATCAGTGATTCCGACCTAGAACCCTCATACCTAAAAACCACTAATAAGGTACCGGCTGATTCGAGGAGATTCACGATCAGGTTATCATACTCCCGCATGAGTTTCGATATAGAACCAACATTCTTCATTTTGGTTCATCAAAATCTTCAACGTCACAGGCCACAATAGTTCCAAAATCTTCCACTGAATAAAATCAACCGCTGAAATAAGTTAGGTCTAAAATATGTGAGGAATTTCTAAGAGAGTCCAGATGATCAAAAAATTGATCTAAAACATCTGTATAAGCAATTGTCCATTCATCTTCTCCTGGTCTCCAAAGTACTTTCCAAGTTCACAAGTAACTCCGACTGTGTAATTCGATGTCTGAGACGGGCTTGCGGATAACACAAACTTTGTAACTGTGAAGTAATAGTCTTCAGAATAAAACCACTCTTGAATTTTTTAATCTTGTTAGTATCTGGGAGTTCGATTTGCCGATGATTTATAGTTTTATAGGATGCAATAAACGGACCTCAAAAACTTCGGATACAGACATAAGCCATCCCATAGAAGGATAATAACGCTGCCGTTTCTTGGATTCCGGCGGATTAAGTCTGTGAAACCTACCTTCATATTGTTGCTAAATTCGGGAGTGATGGTATCCACTTTGTTTGGTAACATATTCAATGGGAATTGATGTGTTAATCTTCCAATAAAGTTTTCTTTGGTCGCGACAGAGTTCCATGATTTACAAACTCCACCAAAAGCAATAAGATCCTCCATGCAAACTATCCGTTTGGCGGTATACGTAACGAGATCTCCAGGAAGAATCGACCAGTCAGCCATCAAGATTTCAATTTGGTATCACATATTCTTGCCCTACCTCCAAGATGTAAAATTAAATGGGAAAAAGTAAGCCGTATAACAGCAGTAGCAACGAGGAGGGTATATACTAGGGTTATGTGTGCTGTATATATACACAGATTCCTCAAGCAACTGGGTCTAGCATTGGCCTTGTGCTTGCTATGACGATAATAGAAACCTTATTCAACGAGGAAAACAAACTGAAAGATGCATTGCCTGAGTACGAATACAGGAAACAGATTGAAAAATGAGTTGCTTGATTGCGAATTCGGGAAACAAATGCGTTGCCTGATTACGAAAATGGGAAACAAACTGAAAGATGCCTTGCCTAGTTACGGGAAACAAACTGGTAATAATAAGCAGGAAAATAAATTAAAGAGTGACTGTTTGGGTACAACTTTGGCCGCTGCCACGCTGCTAGTGTTTTTCAGAAGGCTACTATCCTCGGGTACAACTTTGTATATATTTTCCAACCTCATAAGGAAAGGGGATGCTTCTCTACAGAAGTCATCCGGTGGACTCATATGGAAAATCCTCAAATCAGTTGTATCACATAGCAATATTGGTACTGTGGCCATATTGGTAACATAGAAAGCTGTTACCACCGAGTTTAATTTGTGAACGGGTTAAAGGATGCAACATAATAGTTCTTGTTTCTTTATCCGGTTTAGATAAAGTCAGCAACCATCCTAGGGACTGATCAACTTCTGGGAGACAAAGTTCTTAATAATTGCCTTTTTTTCATACTGTAAACCTCACAGATGATACAATCCTACTGATGAGATGCAAACATAAGCAATGGAAAATGCCTTGATCGACTGGTAAAGTTGTTTTTCGTTGCAACTGATCTCCATGACTTGCAAACTGCACCAAGAGCAACCAAAATCCTCCATTGAAACTACCCTTCTAAGCGATAGAGGTAACAAGGTCTTGAGGAAGACTCGACCGGTCAGCCATCGGGAGATGCAATAGTAGTAGCACAAGAGAGGCTAGAGAGAGCCTGTGCCTTATATGTCGCGGCCAAAGAGGGAGAAGAAGCCTATGTTCTTCTACCAACTTACAGACTCATATTAATTTTTGGTATTTTCAATTTTCAATCCACTTGTTTATCTGGGTGAATAACACTACACGACGTTGTGACCGTGACACCAAACAAAATTTTAAGGTAGAAGCCAACTTCACACTTCTCATATATAATATATCAGTAATTTTGTATTCCTCGTTGACACTTCATGGTTAGACAAATATTTACATGTACTGTTTTCCCCTAGCCAATTCTAAAACCAGAATTTGTGGCTGCACTTTTTCTTTCAAATTTGGCAGGAAGCTGGAACTGCACCTGCCGAGAGATGTTTGATGAATATTGTTGGTTGCTAATCCTTAACCGCGGTTGCAAATCGCTGTGTTTAAGGCCTCATCACGGAAGCTAATTAATCAATGAGCTTGAACCTCTTCGTAATCCCTTGATGTTTTCCTCCGACTCAAACCATTAGAAAATCGAGGAAGCTTCAACATGGTATTTACTCTTTCAACTTCTTTAAGGGCGTTCAACTCTTCCTTTGCATCTTGTGAGACATTACAATTCAACACAGTATCTTTCCAGTCCTCCGTCATCTTGCTGTTAATCTCGGATGCAGTGCCTCCCTGATCACTTACAATGTTCGATCTTGTGCTATAATAGGAAAGTGAAAGCTCAGAGTCATTCACTTTGCCCAGACGGCTCACTTGGGATGTGGAATGTGTTAATGAAGAAGCTGGTTTGTCTTTCAGATACAAGCATATAGCTGCGCAGTCATCAATTTTTGATGCTGGGAACTTTCGTTTCCATGCTCTAACCGCACGCCTTACTAGTAATTCTGCTGCCATGGATCGCTTCCTTGCTGAAGCAACTATCTTTACCACGTCAGTGTTTGTTAAAGCATCCCACACCTGCGCAATGCACAGCATCAATATCTTAATGTAGCTTGATAAATGTTAAGAGTTACCAAATATGTTCTACATAAATAAAACTGTTACATCACTTCGTAAATAAATTGAATGACCGTAACAATACTTGTAGACCAAAAAAATGTGTCCTATGAAGCAAAACACCGAATCCGTTGAAGAAAACAAACAAATCAAGCCCTACAAAGAGAAGAACTGAACACTACGAAGCTAAAACCTCAACTCTGTGAAGCAAGAAATTACACCTAAGAAAGAAAAAAAACCCCGATCCCTATGAACAAAATAACCATCCCCTCGAAGCAAATCCAGACCCAATGAAGCAAACCGAACCCTATGCAGCGAAAAACAAATACTTAATTGAAGGGACGTTCAGGCTATTGATCAAAGTCATTTTTCTGCACTCACTTGACAATATGGGTAGGCTTTTTTAACCATCAAGTAGAGGGAAGTTTAGTGATTTGTTGCTTTCTTACCCCATCAGTTGCCAAGACCACAAATTCGTCATCGCTTGATATCTTCCTGTAGAAAACTTCAGGAATTGAGATCAGGCCATAATCTTTGACACAGAAATCCCCGAAAGCCCTCGCCATTGCTAGACCAGGGCAATCTTCATCCGGCATCCATAATCTATACACTTGTGGTTCTTCATCCACTGATAAAATCCTGCCTTTGCATTTCATAATTCTCTCAGCTTCACCTGAGTTTCATCAGTAGCAAAAAACAAGAAGATCAATAAACTCAAAAACTTGATCAAAATCATCATGCAATTCTTAAGGAAATATTAAGTGAAGTGATTTCCGCACACAACTCTCTCCGCTTGCACACCCATCAAAGGAAAATCAAAGGGACAAACATAAACAGGGTGTGCAGAAGGAGATATAGGTAGGCGGAAATCATTTCCCAATATTAAGAGCACTAGTACTAAACATACTTGGAGTATCAGGTTTCAAATCAACCGTGAGCTGGACAGGAACGATTTGGTTTTTTTCTCCTGATCTAGTTCCAAGAACCGCACGAGAATCGCCTAAGTTGGCAATCACCAAATTATCACCCTGAAAATGAAACAGCATAAAATTAAAAAAAAAAAAGTAATTTTATTGAATTGCTCTCCAAACTTGGAGTGCAAGAAATAAAGTGTACCTGTTTAACTACAGTTACTGCAGTTGAACCGCTGCAGAAGCTATCAATGGTGTTGTCAACGCTAAGTTCTTCGTCCATTTCCTTGAATGATTTGACAAAACTGGCTTCCCATGACGGAAGAGAGATATCACGACTGCGTTTCCTGTCGTGATTATTCCCGTTGTTTGCATTGATCTCGCTTCCGGCAACATCAATGTCGCTGAATATGCCAGTGTTGAGCTGGTAAATTTTGATGACTTCCGAGAGTTTCGAGGGTAAATTGTCACGTACGCATCTTGCAACTTTGTGCCCTTCGGGGCCATGACCATCAAACACACCGCAGAAGTACATGCCTTTCTCAGTAAAGTCCTAAACAATTCATGGACATAAAACTTCAGTTAAATTCATATATAAAGGACTAGTAAAGAACAAGTTTTGCAGAAACTAGGAGACCAAGAAGGTTTTAAATACAATATGAACAAACAAAAAACCGTAAACTGACATGTTTACTTAATTGGAATGAGGATTTGATTACGGATTATAATGTGAATTTTCATATATTAGATTACGGATTGTAATGTGGAACACGTATTTTGGATTCCATCCGTGTTATTAAACACAATAGAGATCAGAAATCAGCACAAATGAAAAACCCAAAAAAAAAAAAAGAAAAGAAAAATAAACCAACAAAATTGAAAAGAGACAAATCGATTAAAGGTACCTCCCAAACTGTCATGGCATCTTGATTGATCCCTTTTCTTCCTTGCTGGGTGTACATGGAAATGTTCCTAGAACACCCTTGCAACCTTATGCGGGCCCCATCGTCCCCACACCTTACATTATCCTCCTCCTCCTCCTCAGCCTCGTAATACTCATTCCGATGGGCCACACCATCATCCTCCATGTACCCTCCTCCATACGATCTCTCCTTGGTACAACAAGCTCCCATGTCTCGCCAGAAATTAAACTAACCAAGCCTCCCACAAAAATGATAGTTCCCAAGAAAATGGGAGAAGAGGAATGATGGGGACCCACCAGAAACCAATCAACACCCAAAAGGAAGAAATTGGGTGACGAGGCAAAGGAGGGAAAGAGAATTGAAAGGTGATGGTGTATTTGTGGAGAAATCGGAATTGATTGATATATTTCTCGAAATCAGAGCATATTTCTTAAAAGGAAAGAAAGATGAAAGGTAAATCGTAGATATTGCAATACGCATGCAAGGAGTCAATCAAGATTCATGTCGTGTGCTGTTGGAGGTTTTTCATGTTGTGAAGGAGGTGGTTATGTTCTCTTAAATCTCGACATGCTTTTGATCACAAGAAATTGTTACAGGATAATCACAATAGTACCCTTTCGGTCTTTGCCAAGGAGGAAGATAGTAATCCTAAATTTACATCTCCTCCCAAATGTCTTTAGCTAATCAGAGTACTTAAACCATAATTAGGTACAAAATCTTCCCTATATCGTAGTTGATCAACCAAAATTAAATCCTATTAAAGTGCATGCACGTTAGTGTTTTAGATTTGTATGTGCTTTAGTCAAATGATAACGTGAGATTTGGGATCGCCAAATTCGTAAAGTTCGGATTTTCTACTTGAATTTTGGACTAAAAGCGTTCCTCTTATCTTAATTAATTTTAACAAAACCTTTTACCAGCCGTTAGATGAAAGTCGAATCGTTATAGTCCATACCCCTATCATTTTAGGGTAGATCTTTTTTTAACTAATCACTACTAAATTCGTTTTATTTTGGTGGTAAAACTACAACTATTATTTTTCTTTTTAATCATACATTCAACGCTGAATTCATCTCGTAAGGTCACAACAATATAAAATTGGGTTTAAACAAATTGTTCGTTGACTTAGTCAATCAGATGGTTCGAACCATATAATAATTAGTTTAGCTTATGACCATCCTATTCAAAGATATATTTTATTAGGATTTAGTATTATAGTCTAGTGTTATTCTTCTTCACTTGTAAGTGACAGGTCTATTGGTTCGAGTCTTGCCAAAGACGAGTTTGAACCACATTATTGTTAACCTATTTTGATGCTAAGCTCATCTACTTCCCCTTAGTATAAATAATATCGTTTGTTAAAAAAGAAGAAGATATATTTGATTAGTAACAAACGCTTTATCATGTAAATGTTGAGTACAACTCTAGTTAGTGGATAACTCGACTCAAAAGTGTGTCTCCCTATTTGTTGTGTGATTTTATTTTTTTAAATCCTCTTTGTATCTTTGGCTTCGGCCCTGACAATGTCTATTTCCAGGTTTTCAAAAAAAAAAAAAATCATTTGCTTTTGGTGTTTTACAGCTTGTTTGGCAGGTTTATACATTGGCCCTGTTTGGCAGATCGGATAGAGGATCGGATAGGACTAATTATACGGACGCGGGTGTTTGGCGTTCACTCGTACTAAATAAGCGCCGGATTAAATTAACCGGTGTGCTTATTTAGCACGGTATACACCGGACTAATAAAACCAACCAAAAGGCCGGGATTATTAGTCGGCCCTCTCTCTCTCTCTATAGGCGTCGTCGTCCGTCCTCCCCCCCCCCGGTCACCTTCTCTCACCATCGGCGTCCTCCCCGTCGCCGTCTTCGTCCTCCCCGTCAACGTCGTCGTCCATCGGCGTCCTCCCCGTCGCCGTCGTCGTCCTCCCCTGCAACTGGGTCTTGCGAAGAAGCATGCACTCTTGATTTGGGTTGATGTGGATCTGATGACTCATGATTGCTCACCAGATGTGCAGGCAGGCGGGGAAGAAGAAGGGAGAGAGAGGGAGGACATTTGAGGGGTGCGGCAGAGAGAACGGGGAAGAAGAAGGGATGGTTTCAGATTTTTTTTTTATTTTTATAAGTTTAATTTAATTTTAAGTTTGATTTAGCCTATCCGGTATAAAACCAAACACAGTATAAATAATACGGTCATTAGTCCGATACTGCACCAAACGCCCGACTAATTTAGTCAGTACTATCCGATGGCTATTTATCCTATCCGACAGAAATAGTCAGTACAATCCGAGCTGCCAAACGAGGCCTAGGTTTTAGTTTAGAGAAGTTAAGCTTTCCGTCGCCCCCTCCTGCTCTTTTCTTCGTATACACTAGAAGAAGTAAGTGAAAACCCAACTTACACTAGTTTTTTTGTTTTACTTTCGGAAAAAATACAAACCCTTCTCCATGATTCTGCATATACACAGATTTTGATGTGTAGTATCAAATTCAATCAGGACCCTTTTGTTAGTTTCAGTTTTCTTCTTAACCAAAATGATTGCCCAAGTTTATGAAAATCGAGGAGATTTTCACGGATAGTTTGATTCGTTATGTGACATACATTTTTGTATTTAAAACATATATGATGTATACTCTTAGGCTTTATTCACATGTAAAATCGTCTAATATGTTATGTTATCAAACTTCCATTGTGATTTCAGCTGATGATTGATAGTTTGGTCCATAATTTTGGTCTAAACAAAGAGAGAAAATAAATAAAAGAGCTATTCAACTTACAATCCGATTAGGGAATGAACATCCTACTCTTAAATAGATATTTTGCACTAGAGAATTTCTGGCTCAATCCGTACACACTAATATTTCTTCATCTTCTGGGCAGCGAGCATTAACTGGAACATTGAAGAGAGAGGTGGTTTGGAAGTTGTCAGGGACCATGAAAGAGTTACTGTTGTTTTCATATTCTGACCGATTTGTACTCTCAGTTTCACCATCCGGTTTGCTGCTTTTAACTTCATCCCTTTGATTTGGGACATGGACTTGGCCTTGGGCTTTCCTGTTAAGAAGAAGAACAAGAATTAGGAATTGTAAACAAATCGAAAAAAGAAAAAAATGAAGAGAGAGTCTAGATTCTAGAATTCTACCTTCTTCTAAGCCTTCTCCACTTCAGATAGGCCATGAATTGAATATTGTCGAGGAGTTGGAAATATGCATATCTCCACGTCCTCTTGAGAAGCAAAGGGCAACAGAATCCCAATAACCCTACAAAGAAACCAAGCACAACGGATAACCCAAACCATAGACTTTGATCCTCATCATCGTCCAAATCCTGGTTGTTCTCATTCTCATCTGCATCATTGCCATTACTTGGCAAGCACTGGTTTGAAAGTGGGGCACCGCAAAGTTTCGGATTGCCTTCGAATGCAGAGACACTGAAGCCTTGGAGCTGAGTGCCGGCTGGTATTGGTCCTTCAAGATTATTGTATGCAACAGTAAATGTAGACAAGAAATGGAGATTTGATAGTGATGATGGGATTTCGCCTGACAGACGGTTACCGTTGAGTTCTAATCTCTCCAACTTTGGGAGGTTGGCTATTTGGCCTGGAATGTTGCCGGAGAAGTTGTTGATGCTTAGATCCAGTTGTTGAAGAAATTGCAATTGGCCAATCTCAAAGGGTATGCTGCCGCTTAAACTGTTGTTCCTGAGGGAGATTACTCTTGGCATGTTGGGCAGATACTTGTACTGTGAAGTCAGCACAGTTGCATTATTACCGCGTTGAAAGTAGAGGGGCAACTCAAGAGAACAATGGCCTGTTTCATTCGCAGCCTTTTGCGATACTAATGCTTGTAGTCTGCAAAGCTCCTTTGGAAATTCACCCGAAATCAAGTTGTCATTCAACAACAAAAAGAAAAGATGCGGAAAAGTCCCCAACCAACCAGGTATTGTGCCAGTGAGTATGTTAAAAGACAAATCCAGGACTTCCAGTTTCCCGAGCTTTGAAATCCATGCAGGTATGTGCCCTGTCATACGACACCTAAGAAAACTGAAAACACGCAGATTTTGTAACCCGGAATCGGCAGTTATATCCCCATCTGGCATTTCTTCACCTTGAAAATTTTTTGAAAGAAGGAGCACCTTGAGACTTTTGAAACCTGTCAGTATCTTCATTGCCCCCGTGACATTGGTGAGTCTGCTTTGAGCAAGCGAGAGGAAGGTCAAGTTTTTCAATTGAAGAATCTCAGGTTGGATTTGGCCCTCGAAATCATTTGCAGAGAGTCGAAGTGCTTTGAGGGACTTGCATGAGTAGAGGCTTATTGGCCAGGTACCAGTGAGGTTATTCCTTATACAATCTAGTTTACTAAGTTGAGTAAGTTTAGAGAAATTGAGCGCAGAGATATTCCCACTAAAACGGTTGAATCCCAGATTTATTTCAACAAGGTTTGAGCAATTCATCAGAGATGGGGGCAGATGACCTTCGAGATTGTTGTATTGAAGGCGCATGAGCTTTAATTTGGAGAGCTTCCCAACATTCTTACTGATGGGTCCCACAAGCCCATTGGTAGATAATGAAATTTCTTCAAGTGCCTGAGCATTGTAGATATCAGGAGGGAGGGACCCTGAGAGAGTATTGTCGCCAGCACGAAAGACCTCCAACTCGGAACAGTTTCCGAGTCCGGGAGGAATTGGGCCACTGAAATTATTGTGGGAGAAATCCAAGACTCTAAGCGAGGAGGAACGAAGACAGGTAGAGGAAGGTATTTGGCCTGTAAAATGATTATTGCTGACATTCAAACTGCTCAAATTCCAGGCATGCTGGAGGAATGAAGATGGAATTGTTCCGTTGAATTGATTGCTCGAAAAATCAACCATTTGGATGTAACTGGATGATAAAGACAATGGTATTTCTCCGGAGAAAAGGTTATAGCTCAAATCAAGAATCTCAAGGCGACTCAAGGACAAGAACATCCTGGCTTCAAGAGAGCCGTAAAGCAGATTGTGGGAGAGATTGAGGTGCGAAAGAAGCTTAAGGTTTCCAAGTGATGAAGGAAAAGTACCTCCTGTGAGGCCCTTGGATGGCAACCGCACTCGGATGATCCAACCGTTCTGATTACATGTGATGCCTTCCCACTGGCAACAATCAACTGAAGCAGTCCAGTTCAATGCCGGGGAAGACACAGCGCTCGCGAAGGACTTGAGGGCGCTGCGTTCGGTTAGATCACATGCATGTATTGTGAATAAAATGGAAGAAAACAAGAGGATGAGAAGGAAGCCATGAGAGAATGGATGATCCATCTCAGGTTCAGATTACTCACAGGTTTTGTTCTACACGCGTAGATAGATAGGTATGCAGAGCATATACACATCTTCCGCATGACTTCAAAGTCATGACAAGAAATTCCATGTTGGTAAGAGTCATGACTTCAAAGTCGTTGAAAGATTCTTTAATCTCTTAGTCTTTGGTTTGAGGCTCTGCTTTTCTTTGAGGCTTTGTCTCTGTTTGTTTTTGCATAAATCAAAATTAATCGAATTTCATGTCGATTAAAATTTCAGGTTGTTGTTTTAGGTGACGAGAAGAGCGAGATTCCAACTTTTTCCACTGAGTGTAGGTAAGTACCCTACAACTCGAGTTGTCCCAGTTTATTTTTGTTTTTTGATTTTTTGGGAAAAAGAAAGATTGTGATGTGAAATAACTATAAATTACGGAGACTTCTAGGCGCAAAGACTTGTAAATTTATTGAAAAAAGTTGAGGTTTCATCATACAACCAATTGATAATACAAGGAATAACCTAACTTACTTAATGTGAGATTCAGTCTCAACATTTACAATTTTCGCATACATCTTCCATGTTCTTAGTTGTATTATTACTTGCACTAATTCGAAAGCATCAGTTGTACAAGAGGGCCCATACAAGGTTTTTGGATTATTCCTTTCGGACTTTGATGACTTTAGAGACAGGGCATCAAAGTTATCAAAGTTTGAGAGATGGTTCATCAGCTTACTACTAATCAAATAAAATACTGATCACATGTGTAAAGCAATAGTTGGGCCAAACCGCGACTTTAGCGTTTTAAATTATTTGTTCCAATTATGGTAAAGATAGTCTAGCGCCCCAACCGAGGTTTTTAACCTTTTGATGCGGGGCATGCTTCAATTGAGGTTTTAGACGGTTTATTTAGCTCACTACTAATCGAACATTGACATTGATCACATGTGCAAACCAATATATAGTTGGGTTAACTTGAAACTTTAGCGTTTTAACAAATTTATTGTCCCAATTAAGGAATAGACAATCTAGTGAGCCACTACTAATGAACCGAGGTTTTCTAGGTTTTTGATGTGAGACATTGTTGGTTGAGGTTGAAAATAAAAATGTAAATAGTTGCAAAAATCAAATATAACAATTAAAACTCTCATATTATTGAATATGCGTGGCATAAAAGCCACACCGGTAAGACATGCTTCAACTAGGGTTTTCAAATCTTGCACTAAGAGATAGTGAGCCTTGTTTTTCAATTCATATTAATTCACACGTCCCTTCTATCGCTGTATTTTTCACTAAAAAATTAGCGAGATTCAAACTTTTTTCACCAAAGTGTAGGTAAGTAACCTACCTCTAGATTTGTCCCACAATTGTTTACTTCTGTTTTCGATTTTTTGGGAAAATGGAAAGTTGTGGCGTGAAATAATGGTAAAAAAAAATTACTTATACATAAGGTAAAAGGACTGAAAGATTGGTAAATTTTTTTGAAAAAAGTTGAAATTTCACTTTAAAATCAATTGGTAATATGGAGAAAGATCAACTTACTTTTAAGTCCATGCAAGGTTTCTCTTCCCATCCAAAGATTTTTCATTGTGCTAGGAACACGGTCCAATACATCAAGTGTCAAAATACAAGTGGTTAAATACTTGAAATTATTTTCTAACCATTTGTATTATGACACTTGGTGTACACCGAAAAATTTATCCTTCCTATCAATGTGCAAATCTTTCTCAACGTTTACAATTTTTGTGACATCTTCCATGTTCTTAGTTGTATTAGTTGTATTATTACTTGCACTACTTCGGAAACGAGGAACCGCGAAGTCTCGGTTGCCATCAACAGCAGTGCATTGAGGCCTAGAAACAAACAATTGATAGCGACGCTAGGATTCAGTGGGACATATGGTTTCTGGAGAGGTCTGGATCATCTCTTCAAGTTTGTGAGGCTGGAATATGGTCAGGAACGCTTCCAAAGTGAGAGACGGTCCATCATCTTACTACTAATCAACCAAAATACTGATCACATGTGCAAACCAATTGTTGAGCCAACCCACGACTTCAGCGTTTTGCATTCGTTGTCCCAATTCAGGTAATGATTATATATAGCTAAAATAAACAAGTAAGTATGAGCAGGACCTCGTAAAAAGTAGGTGATCATATGTGTTCTTCAACTTTCTGTTGAACCTGCAATCAACGAAAGTGATCCGCCGTGAAAAACATGGTTAACCACCATGTACTAAAGCTATATATAATCATTGAAGAAAAACCTTTTACATCCAGAACAAAGCAAACTATAATCGAAATTTCAACAAACCAAAATAACATGCAGATAAATAAATACAACAACAACAACAAAGCCTTTTCCCACTAAGTGGGATCGGCTATATGAATCCTAGAACGCCATTGCGCTCGGTTTTGTGTCATGTCCTCCGTTCGATCCAAGTACTCTAAGTCTTTTCTTAGAGTCTCTTCTAAAGTTTTCCTAGGTCTTCCTCTACCCCTTCGGCCCTGAACCTCTGTCCCGTAGTCACATCTTCGAACCGGAGCGTCAGTCGGCCTTCTTTGCCCATGTCCAAATCACCGGAACCGATTTTCTCTCATCTTTCCTTCAATTTCGGCTACTCCTACTTTACCTCGGATATCCTCATGCCCAATCTTATCCTTTCTCGTGTGCCCACACATCCCACGAAGCATCCTCATCTCCGCTACACCCATTTTGTGTACGTGTTGATGCTTCACCGTCCAACATTCTGTGCCATACAACATCGTTGGCCTTATTGTCGTCCTATAAAATTTTCCCTTGAGCTTCAGTGGCCTACGACGGTCACATAACACGCCGGATGCACTCTTACACTTCATCCGTCCAGGTCGTATTCTATGGTTGAGATCTCCATCTAATTCTCCGTTCTCTTGCAAGATAGATCCTAGGTAGCAAAAACGGTCGCTTTTTATGATCTTCGCTAGATTGCTCCGGTCATTAGTGTGGATAAGTATATAAATGGATAGAGATAGGAAAGCAAACACAAGATGTACGTGGTTCACCCAGATTGGCTACGTCACGGAATAGAAGAGTTCTCATTAATTGTGAAGGGTTTACACAAGTACATAGGTTCAAGCTCTCCTTTAGTGAGTACAAGTGAATGATTTAGTACAAATGACATTAGGAAATATTGTGAGAGAATGATCTCGTAATCACGAAACTTCTAAGTATCGGAGTGTGGTATCGTCTTGACTTGCCTTATCTGTCTCATAGGTAGATGTGGCATCTTCTCTGGAAGTACTCTTCCTCCATCCAGGGGTGGTATCTTTAACTGGTGGAGATGCACAAGGTAATGTATCAATTTCACTTGAAGCTTACTTGTAGTTTCAGGCTTGGTCAAGCGCGATACAAACCATGTAGTAGGAGTCCCCCAAGTCGCCGAGCTAGGGGATCTGCTGAAAGAGGTGACAGACAAGGTAAGCAATCAGAGCTCCGGCTGATTGTTCACCTTCTCCCCATCTTGCAGCAGCATGAAGGATAAAGAGAAGAAAGATGAGAAGAGATGATATGGGATACTTTTGCTTTTGAAGAAGTAACTTTCCACAGGCTTATTCTTGAACTGAGCTGGAGGGTTTTCTGGTTTCCTCCAGTATAAGCCGACTGAAGAATTTGAGGGTCAAAACAAGTCCATCAAATCTAGAGTACGTTCGACCCTGCTGATATGGGATACTTTTGCTTTTGACAGAGTAATGGATGTATCGGCACGTGTGCTGTTACGCTTGTCTCCACATGCTTCCTTGTATCCTTCGCACTTGCCCTATCTGTTCCTCAAGCAGATGCGGTATCTTCCCTGGAAACATAAGATGTTGAAGATGAGTACTCGAGAGCAATGCCAGGTAAGTAATCAGGTAAGGGGTTCCAGGCAGTCAGTTCCTGGCTGGAAGCTTGATTCCAAGTGCTGACTGATTGCTCTCTTTCTCCTTGTCTTGCAGGTAACAACAAGGCCAAAGGAAAAGACAGGGAAAAAGCATGATATGGGATACTCTTGCTTTTAACCCTGATGATATGAGATATTCTTGCTCTAGTATAGCTTGTTTGCAAAGGTATTATCAGGGGGAAAGAAAGCTGAATATTTCGAAAGGCTTCGTTGGGAGTGCCCTCTCAAATATGAGGAAGGGTTGAACATTTTTGCAGGTCTGCCTGTCCGTTGGGGATGGAGGTCGACATATATAGGAGTCTCCCTAACAACAAGTAGTAATGCTATTCCTTTACCCTGCTTGGTCATAGCACGGTAGTGGGAGCTGCCAGCTTCACATGTTTTAACTCTGTCAGAGCACTTTGAAAAAGTGGTCTGTGCTCTCGAGAAGTCTTCGACAGAATGCCCATAATTTCCGCAAAGCTGAGTGTGCGTGTGACAGGTGCTGACAAGGCTAGAAAAGTAGGTGCCTCTTCGATTTCTGAGATCGGCCCTCGTGGTCTCTGAGCAGCCCAACTTTTGAGAAAGCGAGCGTCTCTTCGATTGATTCGGAGAACGATGCATCTTCGATTTTTAAGAAAGCAATCATGATGGGGGTCTAGCTCTCGAGATTCAGGGAGTAGTGTCACTTCGATTTTTGAGAAAGTAATCATGTTGGGAGTCTGGCTCTCGAGATTCGGAGGGCGGTGCCTCTTCGATTTTGGAGCAAGCAATCTTGTTGGGAGTGTTTTCTCGAATGTGAGTAAAGGTTGGACGTGTTTGCTAGTCTACCTTGCCACGAAGCACAGAGGTTGACACACAGGGATTTTCCAATTATCCAGCAATGGTACTGTTCCTTTACCCTCTCTTCGATTTTTGAGAAAGTAGTCATGTTGGGAGTCTGGCTCTCGAGATTCGGAGGACGGTGCCTCTTCGATTTTGGAGCAAGCAATCTTATTGGTAGTGTTTTCTCGAGTGTGAGTAAAGGTTGGGCATGTTTGCTAGTCTACCTTGCCACGAAGCACAAAGGTTGACACACAGGGACTTTCCAATTATCCAGCAGTGGTACTGTTCCTTTACCCTTGTGGGTAATAATATGGTAGCTAGACCTTCAAAATTTATGGGTCTAAACTTTGTTAGTGCTGTTTCTTTGCTATTCTTTTACCTTTCTTGGTCAGAGCGATGTAGTGGGAGCTGCAAGCTTTACGTGCTCAACTTTGGCAGAGAACTTTGGCAAAGTTATCTGTGGTACCCATGAGCTATTGTTGCGTGTGGGAAGTGGGTGATTGAACAGTAAGATTCATGTGTTTTCTACTTCCTCAGAAGTCTTCGACAGAATGCCCATAATTTCCGCAAAGCTGAGTGTGCGTGTGACAGGTGCTGACAAGGCTGGAAAAGTAGGTGCCTCTTCGATTTCTGAGATCGGCCCTCGTGGTCTCTGAGGAGCCCAGCTTTTGAGAAAGCGAGCGCCTCTTCGATTTCTGAGATCGGCCTTCGTGGTCTTTGAGCAGCCTAACTTTTGAGAAAGCAAACGCCTCTTCGATTTCTGAGATCAACCCTCGTGGTCTCTAAGCAGCCCAGCTTTTGAGAAAGCAAACGCCTCTTCGATTTCTGGGCAGGCGCCTCTTCGATTTCTGAAGATCCATCGAGTGCAGATTTTTATAGGGGCTGGCATTAAGTTCCAAAGCACACTTGAATCTCCACCAGTAGAAGCTCCATTCTTGCACTTCTAAGATCTTGATTTGTCCAACCTCTTCTCTCTTCAACACCTTTGAAAATGTCTGGCCCCTCCGACCGTCGTTTTGACTTGAACCTTGTTGAAGAGGCAGCCCCGCCTTCTCCAGACAACATATGGCGCCCATCATTCGTCTCCCCTACTGGTCCTCTTACCGTTGGGGATTCCGTGATGAAGAATGATATGACTGCTGCGGTGGTGGCCAGGAACCTTCTCACTCCCAAAGATAACAGACTACTTTCCAAACGGTCTGATGAGTTAGCTGTTAAGGATTCGCTGGCTCTCAGTGTTCAGTGTGCAGGTTCTGTGTCTAATATGGCCCAACGCCTATTTGCTCGAACCCGCCAAGTTGAATCATTGGCGGCTGAAGGTGATGAGTCTCAAACAGGAGATTAGAGGGCTCAAGCATGAGAATAAACAGTTGCACCGGCTCGCACATGACTATACTACAAACATGAAGAGGAAGCTTGACCAGATGAAGGAAACTGATGGTCAGGTTTTACTTGATCATCAGAGATTTGTGGGTTTGTTCCAAAGGCATTTATTGCCTTCGTCTTCTGGGGCTGTACCGCGTAATGAAGCTCCAAATAATCAACCTCTGATGCCTCCTCCTTCTAGGGTTCTGTCCAGTACTGAGGTTCCGAATGATCCCCCTCCGGTGCCTTCTCTTTCTGGGGCTCTACCGACTGCTGAGACTTCTCCTAAGCAACCCTTGTGAAGGCTCCCTCTTGTTTGTTTATTTTTGACTCATGTATATGTACACATTTGTAGCTTATCGGGGATATCAATAAATAAGTTTTCCTTCATTTCAACGTATTGTGTTAAATACACCAAAACCTTCTTCGCTAAGTTCTTTGAATTTTCTTTTGTTGAAGCTTGTATGTTGAAGCTTTCTGAGTGGAGCATGTAGGTTGGGGTAGTGTTCCCTTAATTTCCCGAGTGAGGAAAACTTCTCGATTGGAGACTTGGAAAATCCAAGTCACTGAGTGGGATCGGCTATATGAATCTTAGAACGCCATTGTGCTCGGTCCTGTGTCATGTCCTTCGTTAGATCCAAGTACTCTAAGTCTTTTCTTAGAGTCTCTTCCAAAGTTTTCCTAGGTCTTCCTCTACCCCTTCGGCCCTGAACCTCTGTCCCATAGTCGCATCTTCTAATCGGAGCGTCAGTAGGCCTTCGTTGCACATGTCCAAACCACCGTAACCGATTTTCTCTCATCTTGCCTTCAATTTCGGCTACTCCTACTTTACCCCGGATATCCTCATTCTTAATCTTATCCTTTCTCGTGTGTCCACACATCCAACGAAGCATCCTCATCTCTGCTACACCCATTTTGTGTATGTGTTGATGCTTCACCGCCCAACATTCTGTGCCATACAGCATCGCTGGCCTTATTGCCGTCCTATAAAATTTTCCCTTGAGCTTCAGTGGCATACGGCGGTCACACAACACGCCGGATGCACTCTTCCACTTCATCCATCCAGCTTGTATTCTATGGTTGAGATCTCCATCTAATTCTCCGTTCTTTTGCAAGATAGATCCTAGGTAACGAAAACGGTCGCTCTTTGGTATTTCTTGATCTCCGATCCTCACCCCTAACTCGTTTTGGCCTCCATTTGCACTGAACTTGCACTCCATATATTCTGTCTTTGATCGGCTTAGGCGCAGACCTTTAGATTCCAACACTTCTCTCCAAAGGTTAAGCTTTGCATTTACCCCTTCCTGAGTTTCATCTATCAACACTATATCGTCTGCGAAAAGCATACACCAAGGAATATCATCTTGAATATGTCCTGTTAACTCATCCATTACCAACGCAAAAAGGTAAGGACTTAAGGATGAGCCTTGATGTAATCCTACAGTTATGGGAAAGCTTTCGGTTTGTCCTTCATGAGTTCTTACGGCAGTCTTTGCTCCTTCATACATATCCTTTATAGCTTGGATATATGCTACTCGTACTCCTTTCTTCTCTAAAATCCTCCAAAGAATGTCTCTTGGGACCCTATCATACGCTTTTTCCAAATCTATAAAGACCATGTATAAATCCTTTTTCCCATCTCTATATCTTTCCATCAATCTTCGTAAGAGATAGATTGCCTCCATGGTTGAGCGCCCTGGCATGAACCCGAATTGGTTGTCCGAAACCCGTGTCTCTTGCCTCAATCTATGCTCAATGACTCTCTCCCAGAGCTTCATTGTATGACTCATTAGCTTAATACCCCTATAGTTCATGCAATTTTGTACGTCACCCTTATTCTTGTAGATAGGCACCAAAGTGCTCGTTCGCCACTCATTTGGCATCTTCTTCGTTTTCAAAATCCTATTGAAAAGGTCAGTGAGCCATGTTATACCTGTCTCTCCCAAAACTTTCCACACTTCGATTGGTATATCGTCTGGGCCTACTGCTTTTCTATGCTTCATCTTCTTCAAAGCTACAACCACTTCTTCCTTCCGGATTCTACGATAAAAAGAGTAGTTTCTACACTCTTCTGAGTTACTCAACTCCCCTAAAAGAAGCACTCCTTTCATGTCCTTCATTGAAAAGATTATGAAAATAACCTTTCCATCTGTCTTTAACCGCGTTCTCTGTAGCAAGAACCTTTCCATCCTCATCCTTGATGCACCTCACTTGGTTTAGGTCATTTGTCTTCTTTTCCCTTGCTCTAGCTAATTTATAGATATCCAACTCTCCTTCTTTGGTATCTAGTCGCTTATACATATCGTCATAAGCCGCTAACTTAGCTTCTCTCACAGCTTTCTTCGCTTCTTGCTTCGCTTTTCTATACCTTTCACCATTTTCATCGGTCCTATCCTTGTATAAGGCTTTACAACATTCCTTCTTAGCCTTCACATTTGTTTGTACCTCCTCATTCCACCACCAAGATTCCTTTTGGTGTGGGGCAAAACCTTTGGACTCTCCTAATACCTCTTTTGCTACTTTTCGAATACAACTAGCCATGGAATCCCACATTTGGCTAGCTTCCCTCTCTCTATCCCACACACACTGGGTGATTACTTTCTCTTTGAAAATGACTTGTTTTTCTTCTTTTAGATTCCACCATCTAGTCCTTGGGCACTTCCAAGTCTTGTTCTTTTGTCTCACTCTTTTGATATGTACATCCATCACCAACAAGCGATGTTGATTAGCCACGCTCTCTCCTGGTATAACTTTGCAATCCTTACAAGTTATACGATCTCCTTTCCTCATTAGGAGAAAATCTATTTGTGTTTTTGACGACCCACTCTTGTAGGTGATCACATGTTCTTCTCTCTTCTTAAAGAAGGTGTTGGCTAAGAAGAGATCATATGCCATTGCAAAATCCAAGATAGCTTCCCCATCCTCGTTTCTTGGTTCACTCCGCTAAATTGGTAGAGGAGCTGTTGCTTTATCCATCAGAACCTTAAAACAAAACCTATAATAGTATGATAAGCGATGAAGATCTGGTAAGTTTATTAGACATTGTTTCATATACAAATTGAGACTCGTGGGAAACAAAAGAGAAACAATCAAATATCATATTATATTCTGATAATACTCTGAGATGGTATGAAGTCACCTCATCTAATTTTACGACAAATGGGTGAGACTCGTTAAAGAAACTCAATAATGGGTAGAATGTTTAAATCTATCTGATCAAAGAAGTGATAACGTTGTAGTTATTTTATCAGGAGGCGTTAAAACCATGAATCAAGAGGATTATAGACCAGGGATTTCAAATATTTCAATTATAAGAAAACTTGTTTGCAATACTGAGAAAAAGCTTATTATTGTTGCTAAAAATGCACACGACACCAATAGATCATGCCATAAAAATTACACCATGGAAAATCCAGAGACCAAAATCCCTGCCGGCAAAATTTATTCACATCAAAGGACGCACAATCTTCGTTTAAAAAACCAATCAAATTTAAATTCTAACACCATACGATCAAATGTTAATCAAACACACTCGGAACCAGCAGCAACAAATAGAACCAAGAAGGAAAATGATTGATAAAATAAATAAATAAGAAATAGGACAGAGGCACAAACAAACGACATGAGCTCAGTTTTTTCACCATGAATTTTGCATGGCCTGAAATCAAGAAAATGACTTGTTTACCGGGATTTTGGAGTGGACGCCCGCAGTCTGAATGACAACGATCATCCCTCTTTTGATGGTCCAGAATCGACCTGGGACACTCATATGAAATCCAAAAAGGCAGCATTATCCGGAAAGAACAGGCGAAGCCGTCAACAACAACGAAGTAAATATATAGTTCCATAGATGCAAACAAAATAACACTACGGCATGATATTTGATTAAGATCCGTCTCTACCAATTTATGGCAAAAACACACACCTCTCCCATGTGGGAATGAACCTAACCATTTAACGAAAAGAAGACGAAAACCCATGCAGGAATGAACCTAACCACACTGCATGCACTCACATACACTCACACACACAGAAGAATGAACGCATTATATTCAGTTAGCACCATTCAACTTTAAAAGCAGTGAGACTTTCCAAAGGCACAGCCTAACTGGCCTCGGTTCAAATAACCAAATTGAGAACAGTTCAATTTTAGAAAAGCTGTACAGAGGGAAAAAAAAAGAAGAAAAAAAACAGAGAGACAAAACGATCCTATAACCACACTGAAAAAACAAATTCAAAATGAACAGAATAAAATATCAGCAGAGCATGAACACTGACTAACATCCTTTGGAAACATGTGCTGGTTACGTATAATATATATGCGCATAAATCAAGAAAAAGACTTGAGTGCCCTAGCAGTGGTCTTTACGCTGAACAAAATCACTATTAGGTTAATTGTATTGATTCATGCATCTTCTTTTATGTCCTAAATCTCTACTAAATTGCCCTATGAAGATGACATAAAACTAATTAAATTCCCAATATATCCGAGAAATACAAGTGTGAGAATATATGCAGCACCAGGATGTTGCAGAACTCACTGCCTCAATTTAAGATTCGATTTTTGTCCAATGTATGTATATACTTAGATACGTCTGAGAATTTGCTTTCCAACAGTTGCTACTCTCATCATCTTTTGAGAGAGATAGATACAAAGGTAAAGATTACAATGGGGAATAGTTAAGAATCCCTCTAAAATACTAAAGAAAAACATACCTAGAACGGAGTAAACAACTTTTTGTCTCCATAGCAGTTTCTCAGAGCATTTATGCTGTCAGAAAGATAGTGCTCCACTCCAGAAGGATGGACAAATGTACCGGATGGAGACTGACCCAAAGAAAACATAATTAAAAGTTAGCATCTGATGAACAATTAAGGTGATGCAAAAGGGCAACACGTGATGTGAAATTATTATACCAAAATAATGAAATATCCAAGGTTTGTTAATCTAATCACCCAATAAAATAAAACAGAAATTAAGCACAACAATATCAAAATTAGAAGGAAGGAATAATATGAAACCTTGTGCATAGAACGTTCATGAGAATGAATCACACAACAATCAAGGGTCGACAAATCACAAAAGTGACAATTAAAGGGCACCTAACGGACACCCCCATCTCTTTCTCTCTCTCTGCAATAGCAGAAATCCTTGGGGTTTGAGGAAGCAAATGGGAAACAAAATGCTTTTCCATCCCCATACCCATACCCATACCTCCCTAAACAAATCCCTGAAATCCCTCATCTAAATCCTCCCATATTTCTCTCAGACACCCCCTCTCTCTCTGCAAAACCTAAACCAGATCTCCTAAATCCTAATCTCAGACACCCTACATACAGCAAAGAAGCCAAGATATTAAAGCAATCTCTACATAATACTTTGGAACAATGAAGCAAAATGGTACTTACTTGTTCCTTGTCCAAAACCGTTGGTGCTGCTGCACATTGTTATCAACTGTGGGTTTATCAAATCCTTCATGGCTTAGACTGCATGAAGAATTAGAAACTAAAAGACGAATATATGTTGTAAATCATCATATAAATGTAACTGCATTTAAAAAAAAGAAGACGGGAATTAAAAAATTGAATTCTATTTCATCAGTATGTAACTGCATGAAAAGTTACATTGAATGCAGACTCAATCAATTTCCCCAAAGTCATTGTTAACTGAAAATCAATACCAAACCCATAAATACCACCATTGAATTTGGCAAAACCCAAAAACAAAATACAAAAATTTACTCATATAATCACAGAAAAACATGAAATTTGAGCACCCATTTGGTCAAGTTAAAGGATAAAGGCACTCGCATCATCATAGTACTCTTTGGGAAGATCTTCTAATACTAGTTCTTCCTTTTCTTGCTCTTCCTTAGAACTGCCATAAAAAAACCCAGAAAAGCACACAAATTTAGAAAAGAAAAGGTCCAAAACTACCATAAAAAATCCAGAAAGCATACAAATTTATCAGAAAGAAAAGTTCAAATTACAAACCAACTGATATGAGTGAGTAGTGAGGTTGTGTTAGGCACCTGAAACACGTTTTGGTTTCAATTGAGAGGGCCAGAGCCTTGCATGCCTGGAAGATGTTGATAGGATTCCAGAGACAGAGAAAGGAGTAAGACAACGGAGGCGAGAAAAGGGAGACAGCGGCGAGAGGAAGACAGGACGGAGGCGAGACCGTCTGTGGTGCGACACACAGTGGATTTCACAGCTATTAATCAAAATACACAACATGAAAACCTATTTGATCATTGTGCCATAGTTTCTGCTTGTCTACAAAATTGGCAAAATTGACACATAGGTTCACAACTCGTCGTCTTCCCTTTATCAATGGCTCCTTGAAATATCCAAATGATCAAGGTCGATCGTGCTTGTAGAATACTTGATGAGCTCCTTTTGGTAATCGACCTAAAACAAATAAGCACAATATCTATGTAAACTGGCATTTCACTCAATTATACATTAGTTATGGCATCTTTGGAACTAAATGACTTCAATCTTAATATCCTATAAGTAGTATGTTATGCGTATTTTAAATCCTGTTATGATAACAGGTAAATATAGATGATACGAAAGTAATTTAGTTCCATCATGCATAAAGGTGCAACCTCCAACCTGAGCTTCACATATTTCTTTTAATTTTAATGAATAAAACTCTATTCATGTTATCATCAACATCTCACAGAGCGAAGCAACATATTGGAAATGCGTATCCAATTAACAGCCCTTTCATTCGAGTAATTAAATAAATCCATAACACGGATTAGAAAAACAGGCAAATAACCGAAAAACCTGTCATTTACTTGCAAAACTCCTGCCTAGCCCCACATTATTTGCAATTAAATATAAACTAACACTTCCTCAGTGTGCTCTCTTTGTATAAAAATATATGGTATCATTTAAAACCTGAAATGTAGAATTTGATGCCAAGAACAAATCCTCAACATCCACACTATACAATATAGTAACTAATGAACTTACTATTGTGTTGGAAAACACAAACTCTAACTCCAGATCCTCTTGCGCCATTGACTATGGAGTTGTGGTTCAAAGAATCACTAACAATCAAGCCTCCCTGTAAAGTCAAATGGCACATATTCAGATAAGGAATGTAAACACAAAATTAGAAGTCACACATTTGAGAAAAGATGCAAACCATCCCCATCAGAATAGGAAGGATAACAGAGTTTGTGACATAACCCATTCCGAAAACTATAGCAGCAGGTTTCCCAACAAAATTTGCAACACACTCTTCCAGCTCATTATGCAAATCTGTGGTGCCTGGTGATAGAAAAGTATCATGGTAAATTTATTTAGAATAATAGTTCAAACAAATTTTCCTTGCAAAGTAGTATTAGTCTACCAACCGCCATCAACTCGGCTACTACAGGTACTGGGAGAATATTTTTTCAACGTCTCAACAGCGCGAGGTGTGCAGTACTCATCAGATGCAGCAAAGCCAAGGTAATTGTAAGATCCCAAGTTAAGGCATCTACTGGTTTTTTTGGTTAGCCTGCATCAGCCGAGTTACGCAATGAGAATATAAATCAAGAAAACATAACAAAAGGCGTGAAATATACATGAAATTGTGAAATCGGAGGAAATTTGTAATCCTTACTTGAGTGTTTTGTTGTAGTCATTGGAGTAGCGTTCAACCACATCAAACCAAGCATCAGGAGCACTTGCAATAGGCCTGTTGAAACAGTCCTGACTAGTCAAAACTTTTAAAAATTAATCAGAGTTATCAATAATTATGTTTATGAGACTCCATGGAATTCAAGCTTAATTGTAGGGCCAGCTGCATCCATTTCATACAGCTCAAGAAATATTACAAAATCAAATCAATAACAAATACCTGAATTCAAAGATAAAGCTGGCGAATATAGAAATATTCAAGTCCTAAACAGATTGGAGCATAACCCTGATTTTTGCAACAAAGCAATGCTTATATATATATATATATATATATATATATATATATATATATATAATTACAGGAAAAACTAAACAATAGAAACAAAATTATGTACAATGATTACGGAACCTGCAAATTGCTAGCACTCCACCAGTCGATTATTTTGCGGAAGAAATCTCTGACTTGGCCGAAAATGAAGAGCAATCCATAGCTGAAGTACGTGGTTAATGCGGTTAAATAAGGGATCACAATCATTTTTGCAGAGCTTTTACCTCAATCGAATCAAATCCAACACCGAACGCTGAACGCAAAAATCAATAAAATTTCACCATTGTAAATTATAATTCGTTTCATATTCTTTAATCCACTAAAAAAGCAAAAAATTAAAATTAAATTAAAAGTGAACCTGCTGGTCTTGGGTGTCGTCGCCAATAAGGAGGTCGAAGGGATTGATTTTAGCTTTTTTGTTGAAAAGCTGGTTTTCTTCTTTTCCTTGCGAATCGGATTCTATTATGTGTAGGTCTTCTTCTTTTTGTTCCTTCAAAACTTTGTTCAGCATTCGCCTGAGGAGAGGGGAAATGGTTCAGAGCGAGGTGTCTCCATTGCTGCGACCCTGTCCATTGAATTTGCTGCAGTTGCTTTTAAGCTTCTCCCTCCCTCCCTCCTCTCTGCAAGTCGCATGCCTTCCCCTCACCAGACCCCTCCCTCATTCCCTCTCTCTCCTCTTCTCTGCAAGCAGAATGCCTTCCCACCAAAGGACAAGGATTGTCTGCCCTCCTAGTTGGTGTCCTTCCATGCCCTCCTATTTTTGTACAGTCACGGTTAAGCCACGTCAATATTTTATATTTTTATTATTTTTTGTCTTATTATCTCATTAAAAAATTAATATAAAATATTGACGTGGTTTAACCGTGACCGCACAAAATAGGAGAGCATGGAAGGGCACCACAACTAGGAAGGCAGACAATCCAAGTCCCCCACGAAATCCCACATTGAGCCATCGATCCCACCGAATGCAACCCTAACTGACAACAATGCCCACCCAACTTTTACCCCCAACCGTGCGATGTTAACCTTAGACGGGCATTCCCGTCGTTCGAACCGATGGCATTTTCGTAAAAAGCTAAAAGCATCCGAATTGTAATCTTGTAAATAAATTGAAATGTGGTCCAAAACACTGTTCATATGAATAGTGCAATTTCCCCTCCTACTTTAGACTAACGTGATAATAGCATCGGCCCGTTGATATAAGCCTATTTGATTTTAACAAGTTCTACTAGCCCAATGACTAGTTAGAGCATTTCCAAGAGAGTCCCCGTAGAATTTTTTGTGCTCTAACATAGTTGTCAAATGGGTCTTCCAATTTGGAAAATGTCCTACACTCTCTAGATTTACAGACTCTCTATCTCACTCTTCAAACATTCTCTTTATTATAATAATGCGTCTTTGTCAACTTTTTTCTTACTGTCATGTGAGTCAACAGACTTGTATTTGAACAGTCACATTTAGAGACATCGGTGGAGATGCTCTTAGGTGAGCCTTTCTACTTATTTGTTGGGCTATATGTGATTTTGTAAAATGAACTCACTATAGGTTCTGTAGCCTAGGTGGTGGAAGTTTATTCATTTATAAGTGAGATGTCTTAGGTTCGAATATTGTAAATAGTATGTTTGATATCAATTTTGTTTATTACCCCCTAGTATAAACATATCATTGTATCAAAAGAAAAGAAAACTTTATGTAACCTTTTTTTTTAACTAATGGTCCATTTATTTTTGCTCAGCCCGTAAATTAAGGGTGATACTCACCCTCTATTGATTGTCGTTAGATTATTTTTAGTTTCAAATTTTTTTTCCTAAATCAATTAAACTAAATTAATTTAACGGCTATCAATAGGAGGAGGCAATTAATGGGAGGTGAGCATCACACTCACTTTAAAAGGGGGGGTGCAGGGAGGGTGAGCAAAGAAGCACTCAGGTATTATTCATATCCCTGACATATCTTCCGCTTTCCAAAACACAACATAAAAATATATGTAGGTTCTATGTTAAAATTATGTGTTTGATTCGGATCATATTGTGGATGCAAATTTCCGCATTCTTCTTATTGGACAAAACTGCACCTACAAAATAATTAACATCTTAAGTTAAGGCCAAGAGCCTCACAAGCCCACGATGAATGGGGGGCTTTGGCCGAAAAACCTCCGATGCCAAAGTTAGAATTTGAGGGAAAGGTGTTTAGATAAATTTGAATAATTTAGCAAGATAGTTCAACTTAGGTTTTTGGAGAAAATTGAGTGGTATTTATAGGGCTATGGCTAGTCCTATTAGGAGAATGGGGACCGGCCATATGTGGTATTTTTGGTGTTAATTTCAATCAATTAGCTAATTAATAAATTAATTGGATAATAAATCAATTAATTAGCTAATTATATAATTTGAAAGGCATGATTTGGGGGTTACCTTGTGGAGAAGATTTGCCGAGGATGGATGAAATAGATTTTGAACAATTACCTATTTTGAGCACTTTTGACCTTGATTGAGTCATGATTGTTCACTAGAGTTCCGGTATTCGTCGAGGGTAATTTTGTCTTTTTACCCTAGAATTCATGTGTCGCCTCCATATTTTTCTCGATTATTTTTTGCTCCACAAATGCTCCCACACATGTTGGGCTGCTCACAAGAAAGGGCAGCAAGTGTAGAGATCTCCAGCTTTGATGCAGATTCTCACTTGGATTTGGAATTAGATTCTTCTAAGAAAGAGAAATAAATCGCCTCCAAAGCCTACCTTAAGTAGGGAATTAAATTAACTTCGCAGGGCAATTATTTGTCCCTACAACAAAGAGAGAAAACTAGAGGATATTTGTTCCCCCACCCCTAGCACTCTTCTTTGCTTGCCCGTGCAAAGAACCGTTTTCCGTTGATTTCTTTGTCTTTTCCGCGCCACACCGATGTAAGAAAAACTTAATTCTCCTTGTCTTCTTCTTGGGTGGTGCTACCACGGGGCAGCCATCGGGGTGGTGCGGCACGTTGACTAGTAGGGACTAAGAGTCGGCTTGGCATGGGCCAATGAGGTGGTGTGGCAGAGGTCATTGTTTGTGCTACTCGGCTTGACTGAAGCCAAGGACAGGCTCGACATGGGTCGAGGAAGTAGCGTGGCATGGGCCATGGTTTTCCTCGTTTAGGCTGCTTGCAAAAAATGAGGAAATTGCTTGAGTTTGATTTCTCAGCTGCCGTAGATGGAGCAGTCAAGGATGGAGCTGCCAAGATCGGAGCTGCAGAAGATGAAGTGTTGAATGAGCGAACTGTTGAGTGCAAAGTGGCTGCTACCCCCTGACCATTCACTACCTAGTTGATCTTCAAGCATTCGATCTTTTGAGTTATGTGGCCTTCTCGTACTGGAGAGCTTACCTAGATAGGTGTCGGGGAATTAGTTTACCATCTTGCACTGGAGAGCAATTAGTTTACCCTTTCGCACTTGAGAGCTATTAGTTTACCCTATCTCATTAGAGAGCAATTAGTTTACCATATCGCATTTGAGAGCTTACCCATATGGGTGTTAGGGAATTGGTTTACCCTCTTGTACTGGAGAGCAATTAGTTTAACCTCTCGCATTGGAGAACAATTAGTTTAGAGCAATTAGTTTAACATCTCGCACTAGAGATCAGACCATATAGGTGTCGGGGAATTAGTTTACCCTCTCGCACTAGAGAGCAATTAATTTATCCTTTCGCACTGGAGAGCAAACCCATATGGGTGTCGGGGAATTAGGTGTCAGGGAATTAGTTTACCTTCTTGTACTGGAGAGCAATTAGTTTATCCTCTTGCACTAGAGAGCAGACCCAGATGGGTGTCGGGGAATTAGTTTACCCTCTCGCATGAAAGTTGTTGTCGTGGGTGTAGCTGAGGAAAGCTAGACTGCTGGACAATTGAAATAATCCTCAACCTGCGAGGTCTTATTTGGCAATCTGCTTGAGACTTCAAATTGCTTGTGGAACTCGCGTAAGGGTGTAAGCGTATCGGCACAGCTGAGAGCCGTGGTGCAAGATTGGCACAGTTATGAGCCATGGTGATAGATCAATGGCTACCGGGAGCCGTGGAGCAGGTAGGCACGGCTATGAGAGCAGAGCTGGGGCTGGCTTGTGGCAGATTGTGAGCAGCAAGAAGAATTGGACCACTAAGTCCTTGATGCTCGGCTATCGATGATGTGCTGCTTTAGCATTGAATCGTCGGGAGTGTTAAGAACTAGGCTTCCCCCGGTTCTTGGTAGTTGGGTTGGTGTGTCATTCTGGTACTCGTTTGCCCCGGGCGCGCCATTAGGCTGAGCTGCTGCATTTTTCGGAACATAAGTAACCTTTCTATTCGACAATCTATGTGGGATAATCCCTTCTGATCGATCTTGTCAATGAAAGTAACCCACTTATGTTGGTCATGTATCGTCGGAGCACCTCATTAGTAGCTTCGTTAAATTGGAAATCTCACAATCGTTCGGTAAAGAGCCTCTCAACTTCTTCTTGAATTTGCCTTTGTTGGGTAGCAGAGTTCTTGGTTGCCCCCAGTCGTGACCTGTTGGTCTAGGTTGCTCTTCCATGTGTTTGGCTCGTCTATGCCGCGGCTGCGGTGCATATGGTATGTTCCTAGCAGATGAGTGGGTAACTCGCAGGCTGCTGGTTGAACTTAAGCAAGATTGAGTGACTACTTTTCTCCATCTGTTGTGCTGCCTACTTCGATGTAAGGCAAATGATGCTCTTTGCGGGCCTTGCTGCGAATGAACACTTCGCCTGGAAAGTTTCTCATGTTGATTATTGGAGTGTGGCCCCAATCGTGCATGTATGTTTGTCCGTATGCCTAACTGAGAGTGCATGCTTATCCTCATGCTAAGGCGATAGTATACACTATCTCGGGAGCCCAGTCGGGACTGTACATTGCTAAAACATTCGGTTCGTGACTAGTCAAGTGGATGCATGTCGGGATGCTGTTGGAGAAGTTCACTATATGCCCTTGTCCTACTTCGGGACACCTCGTCTAGGGCACGTTGCAAGAGCTGATTCACCAAGGTAGTCTGTTGCGCGAAGGCACTTGTCAACTCTATGACTTGTCGAGACAAGTGTTGTTCGCCATTTGGGGTGGAAAAGCTTGGACGGTATACATCTCCTTGAGTAATGGAAGTGTAATAAACTCTAGGCGCGAGATTTAAGTTGGGATGTCAAATCTACAAAGAAATGGGGTGAAAATACCCCCAATTCAATCGTTGGTCCAAAAATATGAAGCTGGGATGGTTGAACTGGTCTTAGACTGGTTGGGTTTGCTTGGTAGGTCATGAGAGTGAGTTGGGCCTCGGATTGGACCGTAGGAGCAGGTTGTGTGAAATCTCGTTCCTGGATTTCACTGTTATAATCTACGTATTTGTATTATTTTTCGAGAAATTATATTAATTTATTTGGATTTAGATTTTAATTAAATTAGTTACAAAGTTTGAAGTTTGGAAAGTATTTATCTAAAATTTGTTGACCTTTCGAGGTCAAAAGTAACGTATTCGAATAGATCTTGAAACTACGAGCGCATAAGCGAAAGCCGTTTGCGAGTCCGAATTATAACGGTATAGTTACGGACGTTTGAAGTTGTGATACTATAGTTTGTAGGAATTATTTAACTTCCACTTGTGAGTAAAAGGCCCAAAAAAAAACATATATTT